TCACCCCCACGTGGAGGTGACCAGGCCCGGGGTTTATACGGGTGAACCTTAGCTAAGACGAATCTAAGCTCTCAAGCGACGCGGCCAGGCGGGCATCTGCATGAGGATCTGTGAAAACAGGTCACCCCCTCCCTTGTCTGTCTCTCGCCACTGATCATCATGGGGTCAGGACAAAGTAACTGCCTTGGCTGCTCATTAACTGGTCTGTGTGAAGTGAAAGCTACTTTGATTTATTCTGCTTTTCTGTTGATAAGCTTGGCTGAACGTTTGGGCTGAGCCCATAATGGTCTGCAAAAGTCTCTTGGCAGCTGCAAGAATTATTTTTCTCAGAGTCTTTTGCTCACTATTAAAGGGGAATCAGTCCACTTAGCTAATAAAAATTTCTATCAGTTGCTCTTACCTAGGTTGTAAATTTACTGTATTAAATTAAAGTTCTGGGGTAGATTTGAAGGTTATGATGTTAATGCTTTTGATCTGCAGAAATTCTGTGAACGGGAGTGGCCCACTTTCCAGGTGGGATGGCCAGATGTAGGGACTTGTGATTTAACCACCACTTTTCAAGTTCACCATATTGTCTACGGCCGGCCGGGTCACCCCTACCAAATTCCCTATATTCAAGTGTGGGTCGATATTTTGACTGAAGAACCAAGGTGGTTAAAAGTTGTCAAAATAAGGAAAAGAAATTGGGACAGAGACAGACAGTCCTCTTGGCTCCGGCCCAGAAGGGCAAAACTCCCCCTGTTCTACAAGGTCCAAGTGAGGAGGCACTTCCCTGGGTCAGGCCTCTCCTCTATACTCCCCCACCCTCCGGTCTGATGGTGGCTAAAGACCCTGACCCGAACCCCTGCCTCCTCCACAGCCAGTTTCCTTTCCTCCGGAAACACCAGTCCAGGACCTGACTCCATTCTTCCCTTCGCACACTAGGCAAAGGACAGCGTATGGAGACAGAGAGAGAGAGGGTCAGGGCGGAAGGGAGGAAACTTGTTCTAGGTCTGGATGGACAGCCTACATCTAACCAAGACAGATTAGAGGCTGTGTTTCCCTCCAGGCAACCCGACTGGAACCCCTATAGTGACATGGGAAAGGAGGCTCTCGATCGGTATCACCAGACTCTATTGGGGGGCATCTGAGCTGCTGCTCAGAGACTCACAAACGTGTCTAAGGTGACAGAGACAGTCCAGGGGCCTAACCCTAATGCCCTGGAAAATCAGAGGGCTGTCAATGTTGCATTTGTTTCCCAGTTGACCCCAGATGTTAAAAAAAATTGCAGAAGTTAGAGGGCTTTAAGGGGAAATCAATCTCTGAGTTGGTTGAGGTGGCCCAGAAGGTTTTTAACAATCGGGAGGACCCGACAGCAGGTTTAAACACCTGGATGGCAAAGGCCCTCCTGGTCATGAGTGAGGAAAAAGGCCCAAGGGGCCAGAGAGACAACAAGGGCAAAGAAAAGCCTCGCAGGAGAAAAGGAGTCCAACCCCGGCTTGGAGAAAATCAGTGTGCATTTTGCAGAAAGGAAGGACACTGGAAAAAGGGAGTGCCCTGAACGTGTGGGGGAACTGACTCCCGTGTTGGTGGAGGAGGTGGATTAGGGTTGTCAGGGTTCAGCTGGGCCCCGAGAGCCCAGGATCACCCTGACAGTGGGGGGGCCAAAAGGTGGACTTCATAGCACTCACTCAGGCCTTCTAATGGGTCTTCAGTCCACAGGCCGACGCTCTAACCACTGATCCACCCCGCCCAGGGCTTTCCATTGATTTTCAGACAGAGGTGGGAGGGAGGAAGAGAGACCCCGATGGAGCCTGCAACCCCGGTCGGTGCCCTTGACCGGCATCGAACCCGGGACCCTTCAGGGGCCGAGGGCAGGTGATGCTCAAGGAGACACTGACTACCCTCACTTTCCTCCGTGAGAACCTTGTGGACCAGCCCCTGCAGAATTCGGATGAGACCCTCTACACGGATGGGAGCAGCTTCGTAGAGGAAGGTACCCGGTATGCGGGGGCGGCGGTAGTGACATGAGGAGGAGCCAAGAGAAATCTATAATCCGCCAGGATTAGAAAGAAGCCCTGGTGAGCACCCCGGCACTCACCCTGCCTGACCTACCCAGGGATTGCAGGGAGAGATCTCCTCACACTGCCCTTACAGGAGGACACGGGAGCCACCTTAAAGAGGACTCCTAACCTCAGGAGGCAAGGACATTAAAAATGCTCCTGAGATACTTAACCTCCTGGCAGCCATATAGGGGCCAAGAAAGTGGCTAAAAGACCAGTAGGGCCCCTAGAAGTTCTCGTAGCCCTGCCAGCGCGAAGGCTCCCAGAGAAGCCTACTCATCTGCTGGAGGAGCAGAAGCTAGCTGAGAAACTAAGGACCCAGGAAGGAGAGGCTGGATGGCTAATTCTGCCAGACGGAGGCCTATAGTGCCAGAAGCCCTGGGGCGGACCGGGAGCCGGCAGCCCCGGTCTGTGCCCGTGCCTGGGAATCGAACCTGGGACCCGTCAGTCCGCAGGCCGGCGCGCTACCCACTGAACCACCCCAGCTAGGGCTTTCCGTTGATTTTCAGACAGACGGGGGAGGGGGGTGGAGAGGCCCCTATGGAGCCTGCAACACCGGAAGAGGAGCAGAGGCTAGCTGAGAAACTAAGGGTCCGGGAAGGAGAGCCTTGATGGCTAATTCTGCCAGATGGGAGGCCTATAGTGCCAGAAGCCCTGGGGCGGACCATCGCTTCCCAGACCCACTAGAGTACCCACCTGGGGGGAATGAAGCTATCAGAACTACTGGGAAGAGAATTTTACATCCTAGGGCTCCAGAAAATATCCCAAGACTTGGCTAGAAGGTGCCAAGTCTGTGCCCGGGTAAATCAAGGGCCCCTGTTGTGGCCGCACCAGGGCAGCAATTCCAAGGTTAGAACCCCGAAGAACACTGGGAAGTGGAATTCACTGAGCCCCCGCAGGCCGGAGCGCTACCCACTGAACCACCCTGGCCGGGGCTTTCCATTGATTTTCAGACAGAGGGGGGATTCTCTGACTGGCCTGAGGCATACCCAACCAAGGTAGAGACAGCACAGGTAGTAGTTAGGAAACTCCTCACTGAAATTGTCCTCCGGTTTGGCCTACCACTATATATGGGGTCTTACAATGGCCCCGCGTTTATCGCCAAAGTTACACAATCCATATTTAAGGCCCTGAGGGTTACCTGGAAATTGCATTATGTTTATAGACCACAAAGTTCTGGACAGGTAGAGAGGATGAATCAGACCTTAAAGGAAACATTAACTAAGTTAAAATTAGAGACTGGGTAAGTCTCCTTCCTTTTGCTCTCCTACAAGGATTGACCCCTTTAAAATAATGTTTGGGCGACCGCCACCATTGGTGCCCAAGTTGGGGGAGGAGGAGGTTGTCCGTCTCTCTACCTGTAGTTTGCTTAAGTCTTTGAAGCCACTCCAGCAAGCTGCTACAACAGCCCAAAGGATTGTGAAGGAGGCTCACTGAGAGAACAACAGGAGGTGCCCAGGGGAATAGAACTACCAAGAACTGGGCTGCCAGATCGACCAGGACTTGAGCACCTTGGAAAAGTCTATAGGACAACTAGAGGAATCAGTAGGGTCACTGGCTGAAGTGGTTTTACAGAACAGGAAGGGCTTAGATTTATTATTCCTGAAGCAAGGGGGACTCTGCCCAGCCCTGGGAGAAGCTTGCTGTTTTTACACCAACCACTCGGGAGTGATCCGAGAAAGTTTAAGCCAACTAAGAAAGAGAATGGCTGACAGAGCGGAGGCTCGCAAGGCAGCAGGGAACTGAGATGAGAACCTTTTCTCCTGGTCCCCCAGCTGATGACCCTTCTGTCAGCGGTGGCCAGACCCTTACTTTTGCTTATAGTAGGATTAATATTTGGGCCCTGTTTGCTGCGTTTCCTGCTCAGTTTTATTCAGGATCGCATCCAGGCGGTCAAGCTTATGGTTTTGCACAGGCAATACTCGCAGCTAGTAGATACTAGCGATGAATCCAGAGTCTGATTCATCCTAAAGACCAGTAGGGAATGTGATGGGCAGGCTTGCTTAGCACCATGTTTGGGAATAGAAATAGATATGTAATGTTTGGGAATAGAAATAGATATCTAATCTCTGTATAGCATAGGAAAATTTTTGTAACCAGAGTGTGTTTTTCTTTTAATTAACTTTGTACCCTATGTGTCAGGAACTTGATGTTAATCTGTACTTCTTGGAGGCCCGGACACCCTCCAGCCAGGTGTGACACCACACTGGTTTCCATTGAGCTTGTCAACGAATAGATTGTGGTTAACACCATTAAATAGCCTCCGAAAGGTTTGGGGCTGTAGCAGGGTGGGGCTCCCTGAGCGGAGGCACCTATTGCAGTCACTGGCCAGTTCAATAAATCCTCGCTTGCTGCTTAAGACCTAATTGAAGTCGGTGGTCTTATTCTCGCGAATGTTGGTCCACAACAAGAGGAAGGGAGAGGGATAGAGAACTAGAAACATCAATGAGAGAGAAACATCTACCAGTTGCCTCCTGCACACTCCCCACTGGAGATGTGCCCGCAACCAAGGTACATGCCCTTGACCGGAATCAAACCTGGGACCTTTCATCTGCAGGCCGACGCTCTACCCACTGAGCAAACCGGTTAGGGTGGGCAGGAAACTTTTGTCTTCAGTGGGTTTGGGTGCTAAGGTGAGCTTGGAATGCAGGTGGAATGTAGGTGTGTGATCAGGTATCTTCTGGACAGTTTCAATTCCTTATATGGACTGACTCTTGGTGTCTAGCAAGCTTTTCTTGGTCTTTTGTTCTCCTGAGGCAGGAAGCTTAGACTAAGGATTGCATTGCCCAGCAGTCCTAACAGAAACTACATGATGAAGGGGTCATGTTTCCCCCCTGAGGGCTTTGTTATTCTCTCTTACATGCAGCCATATACAGTACCCCTGATTGCCCAGTTCATTTCTGTGTCTCCCTGTCCACCAAGCACAATCCTTTATTCTCCACACCAATAGCATTAAACACTTATCCAATTGTACTGCATTTAATTGGTCACTTGTCATTCATAGGAAGTAAATGTGGGTGAGAAAACTGAGCTCTAGGGTGTTAGTGACACGCCCTGCCCCTAGGAGGACTTTGTTTTAGATCTTGCTAAACATATTTCCCAACTGAACCCAGTGTGATAGCTCTTTTGGAAACTTTGAACTAAGTGTTTTTTCTTTCCAGGAATATTAGGTCGCCTACAACAAGCCCTGGGAAAGAGGAACAAGCGAGATTTAGCCACTGGCAGAACAAAGTGAGTATACTTAATCTAACGTTTCTACGGGTAGCTCAGGCATGCTGATAAGGTTTTCCTGCCAAATGAGACTTAGAGACTTAGAATAACTGTGGGTGTGAGGATGAGCCCATGGCAGGGTTTATTGTACTAGCTTTTGAGGGTCTGCGCCAAAAGAAAAAAAGAGAAAGAAAAACAATTCAGTCTGGTTAGACACTTTGCTTTCAGCCTTGTCAGACGCAGATGAGGGACTCCAGCCATGCCAGACTTCTGACCTACACAGACATGAGCTAAAAAATGGATTCTGTTTGAAGCTGCTAAATTTCTAATTTCTAATACAAAGTGCTTTCCTTTAAGAAAAATCATGAAGACTTGCAGCCAGAGAGATTGTTCAAAGTCTCTGCTTCATTGGACCCTAAATTAGAAATAATGAAACTTCTCCATCTTTAGTTACCTTCTCTATAAAACAAGAGTAGTACTGCATTTATTATCTCCCCCACAGAATTATAAAACTTAGAGACCATGTGTATAAAGATCTGTGAGAGCAGCTTAGGAACAAACTACAGTGAAGGTGACATGATACCAAGTTACTTACCAGATACTCAGGGGTAGCTGTTGCAATTATAACTTATAAATACTGTCACTGTTGTTTAGGAACTTAAAACCTTATAGAGAGACATCCATTGGGGTAAAGTATTTTAATAAATATATGTATATTGGTTTATGGCATTGAGGAGAAAGGACAGTAGTGTCTGAAGAATAGTAAAATAGATTAAAAATCCAACCTGATAAAATGCCTCAAAGAATGCACTCTCTCAGACGGGAGACTCAGGTCTGCATGGTAAGGCATTTTAGAATGTTCTACAGCTGAGAGCCCTACCAACACGGCCAGTCATCAGAGGTGCCAACTTCTTGAGTATTTCTGAGGATGTACCATCCTGTCTTCAGATGTATTTGTTATGCTACCTTTATGGAATTCTGTGAGTCATCACCTTTATCGAAGGTTTATTTAGAAGTTGCTTACTCAAATGAGTTAATGGAAGCAAAAGTCCTTTTTCAATGTAAACATTAGTGCATATGTGAGGGATGATTTTACTGCATTTATATTTTAACTAGAAGCCCGATGCACGAAATTAGTGCAAGAGCAGGCTTTCCTTCCCCCGGCTGCCAGCACTGGCTTCCCTCTGGCACCTGGGACCTGGCATCCCTCTGGCCACTGGCAGGCACCCGGGACCTGGGCTTCCCTGGTAGCCCCGGCTTTGTCTGGAAGGTCACACCAAGGGTTCAGGAATCTGGAGAAGGGCTGCGCATAAATGAATAGAGACTAGACAAGAAATATAAATTTGGAAGGCATTTTGGGGGAGCCAGATGGAGGCACACCCTCTAGTGAAGTGGGCTCCCTGAATGTCCGGACCCATGGCTTTTTATTCACACATTTTGCCCTTTAGCAAAGCAGATATACATATCAAAAGTACGGCTTGGCAAACAGGAAAAGATTATCAGGTTAGGGAAGCCGTGGGCAAACTATGGCCCGAGGGCCGGATCCAGCCCATTTGAAATGAATAAAACTAAAAAAAAAAAAAAGACCATACCCTTTTATGTAATGATGTTTACTTTGAATTTATATTAGTTCACACAAACACTCCATCCATGCTTTTGTTCCTGCCCTCTGGTCCAGTTTAAGAACCCATTGTGGCCCTCGAGTCAAACAGTTTGCCCACCCCTGGGTTAGGGGAAATGCCCTCAGCTGTTGGGCAGCAGGAAATAATATGCAGATCTTCAGCCCTGCTGAAGTTGTCCATCAGCCTTCTGATGAACTTCTAGCATTTATTATGCTAACTACTGTACTTGGCCTCCAGCAGCAAGGATGTCTGGAAGGACATCCAGTCTAATGAGCATATTACACTTTTATTATTATAGATATCATGAATTTGATGACTTCAGCAGGCTCCACAGCCAATTCTGTGATTGCGATGGCACCCCACCACGGGTATCCTGTGAACCCTGGAAGCATGTCTCAGGTGCCCCAATATCCACTCAACCAACCCCAAGTCCACCAAATTCCTGGGAACCCACATGGTTTGGAGCCGCCCGTGTCTATGCAACCTGCCCAGAGATCCTTAAAAGAGGGCAAAGTTTTAGGGGTAAGTGAGTTTCACAGTGTGTTCATTGGCCACATGGCTGGAGCCAGAGGTGGGAGGAGGTTTGGAAAAACAGAAACTCCAAATCCAGCAAGTGGGGCTGGAGCTGACCCAGCCTTGCCAAATTCAGGTCCATTAAGAAGCTCAGCTCTACAGCATCACCAGGGCCCCCATGTAGGACCTTGTACTATCTATCTTGGGTATTTTAGGAAAGAGAAAAGCAACAAAGAAGCAGTAAATTGGAATGTTGGTCCTGTTGCCGGAATCCATCTTGAACTCATGTGGCCTCTGGAAGAAAGTGAGTCCAGAGAGCTAGAAAGTGGATTCTAAACCCAATGTACTTGAACAGAATCTTTCTCCAATGGGAACAAAATAAGAGCTCACAATGATTTTCCCCTGCAAAGGCTGTCCTGGGTGGGACAAGAGAAATCCCACTACATTACATGGGTAAATGAATACATGCATGGATTCTGATTCAGGCTGTCCAGGTTCAAATCCTAGCTTCACCCCCATATACTGCCCATATCAGTGTCAATCAATACAACCTGTATGGAAGGCTTTCTGTATCTGCCAAATTTTAAAATACACAATAATTCCATTTCTGAGACTTGTTTTATTGGTATGTTTGTACACATAAGAAATATGACAAGTGTGAGGTTATTTATTGCAGCATGGTTTGTGATAGTGAAACTGGCCCAAATGACCCTCAGGGTCTTTTGCCTGCTGCTGTAAAGCCAAATACATGACACTGTTGCTGATGGAAGGAAAGTGATTTATTTAGGTGCTGACTAATTGAGAAGATGGCAGGCTCATGCCTTAGCAACCATCTTAATGTCTCAGGGTAGGCAAAAGGCTTCTTTGGGGGGATCATGGGAAAAGGGGCATTAAGGAATGCTGATGACATTAGTTTTACATTTGAGCTCTCACGTGGGTTCGATGCTCTCTTTCATATCTGTCAGCATCTGGTATTTTTTCTCTCTGAGTTTTATTTCTGGGGACAGGCTATTGCAGGCCTGGTCAGACATTGGTATCTATTACACAATTATGGTAGAGGCAAGTGAAAAGGGGAATTGGAACTGCTTTTGCCAGTGACATGCTTAAATATGAAATTATTAATATTTTAGAGTATAAATTTTTTTGTATACTAGAGGCCCAGTGCACAAAAATTTGTGCACTCAGGAGGTAGG